CTAAATACTTTTTTGCCCCACTGTATATGCTATATTTAGAACTAGCACATTAGAGGTCATCAAGGTGTTTATGTCCTTAAGACATCCCTGCAGTTTAATTAACTGGTGTGTGGCATTTGGCTCAGTGGATATAAAAAGTTGGGTATCATCCCCAAAGCAATGAAAATGTATGCTATAAATTAAAACGAACTGGCTCCAGTATGCAACCCTGTGGAACGACATACTTTCACAGGGTTCAAACCATTTCTGTTAATACCAATGATGTATTCTATGTGTCTGTAGTAAAATGTAATGATCAAGGGCACTTAATGCTGCACTTTGGTATAGCAAGACAAACACAGTAAAGGTTATTATCTGAGGCCATAAGGAGATGTCATATGCTGTGGGAGTGTCTGGTCAGGTGTGGTCCAGGTTCCTGTTGTCCGTCCCCTGGGGTGGAGTTGGCAAGCTCATCACCTGCTTCCAATTTCCTGGGCTCCATCTAGAGGGTTTTTAAGCTAGCACTGCCTGCCACTCCTCGCCAGTTCCTCCTGGTAAACTTGGCCTCCTCTGTGCTCGGACTCTGTGTGCCTGGATCATGGGTTAATGTGTTCTCCGTCTCCTGTGTTCTCCAGATTCATCACCCGTCGTACTCATCAGCAGTGCTGGTTCTGTTTCGATCCCGTTCTCCAGTCTGCCTAGAACCCTAGGACCACACACTCACCTTCTCCTCAGCCTGCCCTCCAGCCCGTACTTAAACTTCCCTGGACACCTTGGAACCTGGACCAGCTTCCCCACACTCTCAACCATCCCTGGGACGCTCCCACGGCAACCCCTTCCCCGCCTAATAGCCGGTGTTTTCAAGTAAGCACAAGACTCTCCACTAGTACCACTCACTTCTGCCCTTTAATTGAATCCCATTCAGTAAAACCCTTCTCCTGTGTTTGCAGAAGTTCCCGCCCGTGTTCTCCTTGTGTTCAACATCCGTTTCTCCACCCTCGGGCCTCCCTCAGTTCCTGCGAATGATTTCTGTTAGACCCAGTCTTGTTTAAGTTCCTTTTCCTTTCAATAAATTGTACATAGTTCGAGCAATTGAGTCTGCTCTTGAGTCCACTGCATCCTTATTTGTGACAGAACGAACTGGCCAATAATGGACTCAGCGGACCCAATTCGCGCCGTCATAAATAACAGGGCGCGGTGTTAGGACGGCATGAACAGACATTGACGTCCCTAGTGGACCAGTGTAACACTATTAGTGAAAAGCAAGAGGAAATACTCACCAGGCTTTCAGAAATTAGTGAGCCGAATCCACCCGTTCCCCCCCAGTCAGCCGGGACTGTCGCCTGCACCCACTATGATAGAATCAGTTTATCGGGGCATTTCCTCCCCTCCACCTGAGCCTTTCCACGGAGAGTTGGGTCAGTGTGGAGGCTTCCTTTTTCAGTGTTTGTTGTTCTTCAGTCGCATGCCACACGCTTTCCTAAATGATGCTGCCAAGATTTCCCATTCTGTAGGGTTGCTAAGGGGTAAGGCGCTCACGTGGGCTGAGGCGTTTTTGTCTTCTCACCCGATTGCCTCATGCTCCTATGAGGAATTCCTCGAGGAATTTAAGGCTACATTCGCTCACCCGATTTCTGAGGGTACTGCAGCTAAGAGGCTGTTGGGACTCCGTCAGGGGAAACGCAGTGTTGCGGAATATTCGATTGAGTTCCGCACCGCCACTGTAGAAACGGGGTTGGCCAGACGCCGCGCTGCGGGGTATTTTTCTAGTGTCCCTTAGCGAACAGATGAAAGATCAGCTAGCTGTACACGACGAGCCGGCCACGTTCAAAGCACTCGCCTCTCTCGCTCTCAGGATTGATAATCAACTGAGAGACGTTCCAAGCCCTCTCCGTCTCTGTTTCGGCCCGCGACCATTTCCACGTTACCCCCGCCACTTCTGGTGACAACATCCGCCCGTCCTCGCGCTCCTTCCCCAGAGCCTATGCAGATCGGCCGCTCATGGCTCACTCCTGAGGAGCAGGAACGGCGTTTCCGAGCTGCAGAGTGTTTTCTACTGCGGAGGAAGCGGCCATCGCATCTGCCTGGTCCGGCCAAAAGGCGTGTCCCGCCGGTAAGTCCGTGGTTAAGGGTGGGCAGTGTTTTCAAAGGAGATAATGTCACGGCTGGGGGCAGTCGTGTGGTGTATTTAAAAAAGGATCCAAAATGCAGGTACTGGCTGGGGTGCGAGTGAGTGTTTATTTACAGCGGTGAGAAGGTGACAAAACAGGAAGAGCAGAGTAGGGAGTAAACAAACCTAAACTGGGAAAACTAACGAACAAAACTTAAACCAGACACTCACGGGAGGAGGAGCAAAATGCACAAAGAGAGATGGCAGAGAGACGCAGAATGAGTACCGGGTAACATAGAATAATGCAGACTGACATGGAATTAAACAGACGACGCGACAGAGAGCACAGGAAAACACAGGGCTTAAATACACAGGGAGTAATCAGGGAATGGGCCACAGAAGGGAGACACAGCTGGGCGCAATTAGGCTAACGAGACAGGGGAGAGGTAAAACTTAACACACTGACATGAGACATGAACTTTCAGAATAAAACAGGAAACTAACAGACACAGAGAACCAGACAGGACACTGAACTTGACAGGCAGACTCATGAGCAGACACAATAACACCATGGACAGACAGAGAGAACACAGGCAGGCATGAAACAAAAACACTAACACATAGCAAACCTAAACAAAAGACAAAACAGAATAACCGAAAACAAAGAATAATATAAAGAAACACAAAACACCGAGTCCTCAGACTCAGGACCATGACAGATAAACCCCGTTTTTTGCTGTCAGTTTCTTTGATAGCTAGTACTAAGGCTCATTCTTTTCATGCTCTCGTGGACTCTGGGTCAGAGCAAAATTTAATAGACACTGAGGTGGCTAAATCTTTGA